TGTGCCAGAAAATTAGAGACACACACCAAAAAGACCCCTACTCCTGCCTTCAAGGAGTTTGTTTACCTGCTAGGTGAAGAGACAGGCAGGTAACAATTACATTACTATGTAATAAATCCAAAAATCAAAGTGTGGGCCCAGTAAAGCAAGATGAAAGAACAGAGTCTAGTGTCCATTAAATTGGGTCGAATGATAGGAAGTTGTCAATGTTCAACTGGCTTTGATCTACAAATATGGTCATTTCTTACAGTTTCACCTCATAGTTTGGTATATCTAGGACACAGTATGAACGGGGAGAATGTTGGACAATAAGGTTGGAAAGATAAAGGGGGCCATTTCAGATTCAAAAACAAAACCCAAGATTCCATGATGTCAAGCTAATTAGGTTGCTTTTCATACTGGAGGAGACATTAAGTCTTGTAAGAAGAATAATAGTGGGAAACTCGGAAAAACCACCTTTTCTTGTGGCTCACTTAAAACGAAAAGAGTGTTTGTCTTTTAGAGAGAGATTCTCAAATATTTATGGATGAAATGATACAATGTCTATATAATCTTCTTCAACATAAGGCCATGGATAGGGGCAATTGATGGAAGCAGAGATGAAATGAGACTGGCAATGAGTCTCACCACTGTTGAACCTGGGGCCATGGGTACATGGGGTTCATTAGACATGCTGTCTTCTTTTGTATATGTTTTTAACTTGCCATAATAAAAAATAAAAATAAACACATACAGAAAAGGAAACTATAAAAAGGAAGGAGGAAAATAAAGAAAAAAAAGAAAGAAAATACCCTTGTTGCAGTATGGATCAATTTTGTGCATGTTGGGGGTTGTATTAGCTTCCTAGGGCTGCCATAAAAAAATTAGCACTACCTTCACAACTTAAAACAACACACATCTATTCTTTCATGGTTCTTGAGGCCACAAGTCCAAACCAAGGTACCAGCAGGGCCACACTCACTCCAAAGGGTTTAGAAAAAAATCCTTCCTTGCCTCTTCCAGTTCCCAGTGACTCCAGATATTCCTTGGCTTGTGGACACATGACTCCAGTCTCTACCTCTGTCTCTTATCATCTTGCCCACTGTTTTTGTGCCCTCTTCTCTTCTTATAAGGACACCAGTCATTAGACTTAGGGCTCACTTCAAATCTAGTACGAGGTTATCTCAAGATCCTCAACCCTATTTCCAAGAAAGGTCACATTCTAAGGTTCCAGATGAACATGAATTGACAGGGTTGGGGGGACACACATTTCAACCCATTACAGGGGTATATATTGAAAGTAAAACTGAAACTGGAGATAGGAGGGAGAATTAGAAAATCAATGAGTAATAAAGTTCAGAAATAAGGAAAGCCAGAACTAAGATATTGCCCCTGGGGATTCATTTAAGTTTTACATGCAGATACATACACCATAGTTGTCAATACAGGTAGTAAGTTAATGACTGAGATAAGTTCATGAAGCAGCAGGAGGCCAAAGGGAATCCCAGAGTGGACTGGAGGAGGGGGTTGGGTTGGTTAGAGAAGGTTTCCAAGGGATCAAGTGTAGACAGGCAAGGGAGGAGGAGGAGGCTTCACTCCAGAGAACAGCTAGAATAAAGACATAGAAGGGGAAATCAGGGCAATGCCATGTGGAGAAAGCTATAAGCAATTTGGCGGTGTTGGACTGTAAAATGCAAGGCAAGGGGAAGCAAAAGCAGAGGCTAAAGCAGTAGGCAGGGGCTAGATCAAGGACAGCTATGAAAGCCATCCCAGTGAATTGGGCCTTTTCTTGTTGGTTCTGTGGAGCCATTTCAGGGTTTAAGCAGGGGAGTCACATGGCCACATTTTCCTCTTAGAACAACTCACCCGGCAAGCAGAATTAAGGGCAGTTTGGAGGCAGAAAGCTAATTAGGATGCATTTGTGATTCAGGCAAGAACAATTAGGTCTTGAACTAGGACAGTCATCATAGATTCAGAGAGGAGAGTATGGGATCAAGGAATAAAAGAGGCAGAATGAGACAATTCATGGAATATTGGGGATTAGGAAAGGGAAGAATCAAGGCCATCTACCAGAATGTGTGATGAATGATGGTAATGTCACCCATTGAAACAGAGAATATAGGAGCTGGTTTGCAGTACAGATGATTGTGAGTTTATTTTATAATATTTTGAGTTTGTGGTACCTGTGGTACATGTAGGAGAGGTAGCCAGCAGGCAGGTATAAATACACAAGCATGAAATTTGAAGAAAGGATCAAGGTTAGAAATACAGATGTATAACACATCAGGATATTAAAAGGAGTCAAAACTGTAGGAGTAGCTAAGATTTCCAAGGTAGAAATTTCAGAATGAGAAGGAAAATGGGCAGGGATGCCTGGGTGGCTCAGTTAGTTAAGCATCTGCCTTTGACTCAGGTCGTGATCCCAGGGTCCTGGGATCGAGCCCCGCATCAGCGGGGAGCCTGCTCAGCGGGGAGCCTGCTTCTCCCTCTCCCACTTGTCCTACTTAAGTTCTCTCTCTGTCAAATAAATAAAATATTTTTAAAAAGAAGGAAAATAGGCTAAGGATGGAATATAATACTCAACAGAGACATATATAAAGACAATATACAATAAAGATGGCACCACAAGTAAATGGGAAACTGAAAGCTGTTTAATGATCATATTAGGGGGAAAATGGCTCACTGATGAAGAAAAATAAAACTGTACTAATACATACACAAAGATTGATAAATAAACATGAAATGTTCAACTATAAACTTAACAGATGAAAAAGTAAGAGGAGGGATCCCTGGGTGGCGCAGCGGTTTGGCGCCTGCCTTTGGCCCGGGGCGCGATCCTGGAGACCCGGGATCGAATCCCACGTCGGGCTCCCGGTGCATGGAGCCTGCTTCTCCCTCTGCCTGTGTCTCTGCCTCTCTCTCTCTCTCTCTCTGTGTGTGACTATCATAAATAAATAATAATAAAAAAAAATTTAAAAAAAAAACCCTAAAAAAAAAAAAAAAAGAAAAAGTAAGAGGAAATCTCTATGAATTAAGAGTAGAGAGCTTCTTAAAGAAAACCTCAAAAGCATAAACCATAAGACAAAGCAAGTTGATTAATTTCATTTAAGGGCATCTATCCAATGAAGAACAGCATGAACAACATCAATGAACAAATAACGAAATGGAAGATATGTGCAGTGTTGAAAACTGACAAGGAATATCCAACATTTTCAAGAAATTCCCAAAAATGAATTAGAAAAAGGCAATAACTTATAGATATCAAAAGCCAAGGCCCAATTAATAATATGAAGGGATGTATAAACCCATTAGTAACCAGAGAAACGCAAATCAATACAACATTGCTCTATGGCTTGACAATCATTGGCAACAATAAAAAAGCTGGATAATGCCCAGAAAAGTAGGATACAGAGACACAGGGATCCTCATGCACCGTCGATAGCGTGACGGTGGTGAACCTATTTTCTATGGTGAACCTATTTTCTATGGCCATCCAGCAGAACTTTGCCAAATTATACAATTTAGTCAACTTGTATAAGACTACTCAACTAATCAAGACTACTATGAAGTGCATACTATTTGGCTCATACATTACTCTTCAGGAATAATTCTGTGGAGGAAGTAAGAACCTAACAAGTGTTAAAAGTTGTGATTTAAGAATAGTCACTACAGCATCATTTATAATAGAAAATTAGTAAAGCCTTAAATGTCCATCAACGGGCACCTGTTAATTATAAAGTACTCATAAACAAAAAAATACATTTAGCTTGAATGTGAAAGCACAACTTAGTCAAAGCAATTTGACCAGTCCAGATTCCCACATTTTAGTTATGGTATAACTGTGGCAGGAGTCACCAAATTTTTTTTGTAAAGAAACAGAAAATACATATTCCAGGCTTTGCAGGCATATGGTCTCTATCACAAGCACTCAACTTTGCCATTGTAGTATGAAAGCAGCCACAAATAATACATAAATAAATAGACATTTATTTCCAATAAAACATTATTTATAAAAAAAAAAAAAAAAAAAACAGGTAGAGGGGGATCCCTGGGTGGCTCAGCGGTTTAGCACCTGCCTTTGGCCCAGGGCGCGATCCTGGAGTCCCGGGATCGAGTTCCGCGTCGGGCTCCTGGCATGGAGCCTGCTTCTCCCTCTGCCTGTGTCTCTGCCTCTCTCTCTCTCTCTCTCTCTCTCTCTCTCTCATGAATAAATAAATATCATAAATAAATAAATAAATAAATAAATAAATAAATAAATAAATAAATATTAAAAAAAAACAGGTAGCAGGCTGGATCTGGCCCATGGCTATGGTTTGTCTACCCTTAATTCTGGAAGAGAAGGAGATCTTTATAAGTTCTGGTTCTGCAATCAGTTACTTAGTCTTGGATAACTTATTTCTTCTATCCTATTTCATCTTATTATCGTGAGGATTAAATAGCATATGTGAGTACAAATTAGCCACTAAATGGCATAAAAATATAGCTTGCTTTTATCATTTCCAAGTGTTTTTATCATTACATTTACTTCACTCCATCCTTGTGACCTGCCTCTGAAGGTGTTTGATATGCTTTTATCTGCCTGAGAAGTGTGTTAAACATTCACAAATCATTCTACTCAATGCTGGTCTCTGTTCACAGTCTTGTGGCCATGAGTTTAATCAAAGTCTTATTTAAAAGTCATCCTCTTCAGATCATTCCTGGAGTATTCCCATTTTTATAATTTGTAGAGCTATGCAATCATACAGATTCTTATGCTTAGAAGGACGCCATGTCTGGTATGGGAGAGGAAAAATAATTTTTTCTCTACCCTACAGGTTCTTTGTCCAGATCCCCCAAATTAAAAGACAGATTAACAAGAGAAAAACAAATAGAAATTTAATATCATGTATACTTCCTGTATATATGAGACCCAGAAAAATTGAGTAACTCCCCAAAATGGCTCAAGTCACCACTTTAAACATCATCTCCAGCTAAAGACAAAGGGAAAAGGAGGCTGGTTTCAGGAGGTGACCAGGCAAAGGATGGTCATCAAAGGTAAGGTCATTATACAGATCTAAATCCTTGCCTTCTCCATTGATAAGAGTTTCTAGAGATTAGGTCATCTTCTTCCTGGTACAGGCAGAGAGATACCCTTACAAATGGAAATTTACCTTATAAATATAAATATATCTTACAAAAGGGTAACTTTTACTCAGTTTCAGAGCTTCTCCTGAATTTTTGTTTGTTGAAAATAATCAGCTGAAGATAATCTTTATGCCAAAGAGGCATATTTGCAGGTGGCAAATTCTACACCCTTCACTGGTTTAATGTTATATTGTTACTGTCTTTAAATTCTTGGTTTTGGGGACGCCCGGTGGCTCAGCGGTTTAGTGCCTGCCTTCGGCCCAGGGTGTGATCCTGGAGTCCCGGGATCGAGTCCCACATCAGGCTCCCTGCAGGGGGCCTGCTTCTCCCTCTGCCTGTGTCTCTGCCTCTCTCTGTGTGTCTCTCATGAATGGATGAATAAAATCTTTAAAAAAAATAAATCAATCCTTGGTTTTTGAACAAGGGGCCCTGCATTTTCACAAACTATGTAGCTAGTCCTGCTCATACACACCAGGAAGAAAAACTAACTTCCCATTCCACATTTGTAACACCTTCAAAGGATGCCTGGGTGGCTCAGAGGTTTAGTGCCTGCCTTTAGCCTTGGGCGTGTTCCTGGAGTCTCAGGATTGAATCCCACATCAGGCTCTCTTCATGGAGCCTGCTTCTCCCTCTGCCTGTCTCTGCCTCTCTCTGTGTGTCTCTCATGAATAAATAAGTAAAATAAAATAAAAAAAAACTTTCAAGCCACAAAATGTTTGATGATAAGAAAACTTAAATGACCTCTATACCTATGTATGTAACTCTACAGAAATATTTCCTGTATTCTTTTATCTCTTGAGTCTAATCTGCCTCAAAGAAAAGAAGGAAAACTCTTTAAATTATGTTAGGTTTATGGAACTCACCAAATTGGCAGAAATAAAATAATAGATTACAGATGCTTAGCTATAAATATTAAAGGTTATTTTTGTTTTCTTACTGGAAATATAAAAATACTTGATCCACGAAAGTAATCTTAATAAATATTTTTTACTGTTATGATAGTATTTGAATTTAAAATCAAGTCATAATTATATACTATTTGCATAGCTATAAATAACTTAGCTATTTTGTGGTCAAAATGCAAATACATACTTTTAAAATACTAAATTAAACTTTTCCTAGGAACTCACTTTGCTATTAAGATAGAAAACAAGAGGGTGCTGGTTTGAATGTGAGAGGCAGCAAAATACATGTAGGGGTTCAGAACAGACTGCTCTCCCAAAATGTGCCACGTTGGCATGTGGATTATCTTGAAGTCGGAAGACACTTAAGACTCTACAGGCTCAAGAGGAACTTTTGCACTCTCTTAACCACACAGAAGCTAGATTGGGTTTTTTTTCCCAGAATAAGGGTTATTAACAGAGATCAATTTTATCTGAGTGACCCATCTGTATGATTGGGCAAACATCTAATTACCAAACATCTGCCTTTTTTTGTTTTTATCATCCTATGAGGTGCATTCCTTTCCTTTGAAATCCCAGGCCCTATCCCCTTCTCCTTAGTTCAGAATGACATATGTACCTCATTTTGCCTGTCTTTGGAATTTCCATGTCTAGGTAGATTTCTCAACAATACACCTATTAAATTTGATTTTTCTCCTGTTAATCTGTCTCATGTCAATTTGTTTCTTAGTCCAGCCAGAAGGACCTTTGAGGGGACAAGAATTCTTGCTTCCCAACATACGTAACCCTAAAATATGCCATTTTGGCATGTGGATTATACTGAGTTTAAGGCAATCAAAATCCAGAAGACTCAAGAAACTTTTACCTCTTCCTTAGCTACCTAAAAGAATTTAGATAGGGGGCCTGCCCTGGAAAGAACTATTACCAACTTTTTACCTGAAAGATCTGTATGGCAGAGCAAACACTTAACAAACATCTGCTCTTATTGGTCTTTGAATTATCCTCCTCCCCTTTGAAGCTCCAGGCCTCTATGCCATTCTTTAGCTCACCTGACTGAGCCTCATTCTAAACCTCAACAACATTCATTTATTCATCAAACTAATATTGAATCAGCGTGTACTATGTAGCAAATGTCATGCTAGGTACTAGAAGACTTTGCTAAAGAAGACATAGCTCCTGCCTGAAACATTTAATACTCAAGGTGCTGACTTGTCCTTGTGATGGGGGAACAGAGGACTAGCTGAGGACAAAGCACATTGACAAGTCCTTGAAACAGGAGAGTGACATTCCTCTACAGACTCAACTGCCTCAGTGTTCATACTTTGCTAAGGGCAGGAGGCAATCTTAGCCCAACCTCCAGGATCCTGTAAGTCTACTTTAACATATAAAAATTCCTTTAGAAATTTCCTTTATGTCTATCCCCTCAAGATACATGTTGGCAATCATCCTCCAAGCACATGGCCCACCAAAACACATCTGAAGGGTCTCATGACTCAGGTTTTATTAGATGGCAATAAGTGACCTTTTCCCAACAATAGCTAGCCCCCTCAAGGTCCTGGAAACCTTGCTTTCAAAGTTCCTTGGAGAGTAAGCTATTCTCAAACCCCTCCCAACTCCCAGGAATATAATCAGCCACCCCTCACAGGCCCGGGGCAGCAGCCCTTCCTGCCCACGGGTCCTGTCCCTGTGCTTTAATAAAACCACCACCATTTTGCACCAAAGACATCTCAAGAACTCTTTCTTGGTCGTTGTGGGCTCCAGACCTCACCTATATTCCAAAACCTCATCACTTGGCTCTCATATTCTTATGGAGCTCCTATACATATGCAATTAGTTTTTCTCCTGTTAATCTGTTTTACATCAATATACCAGACAAAAATCTAGGAGGGTAAGGGAAAAATTTTTCCTCCCCAACAAAGCTTCAGTATTTTACTGATACTGTCTGGCACACAGAGGAGCCTCAGTTGATTATGTTTGCCCAGAAAGTAAGTGTTCAATGACTGGTTCTCTTTTAGAAGAGAGGAAGCTGCTAGTGGGACATAGGCATTGCCTAAGAGTAGCAGCAAGGTTTCAGTGATTCAGTGATCTGCCTTTGGTTTCCAAATCACACTGATTCCAGCACTCTACAATTAGATATTCAAAGTAAATGGAGAAGAACTGCATTGTTTCCTTTAAAGGAGGGCTACTTCTTAGGGATCCCTGGGTGGCTCAGCAGTTTGGTGCCTGCCTTCAGCCCAGGGCATGATCCTGGAGTCCCGGGATCGAGTCCCGGGATCGAGTCCCAGGATCAAGTCCCACGTCGGGCTCCCTGCATGGGGCCTGCTTCTCTCTCTGCCTGTGTCTCTGCCTCTCTCTCTCTCTCTCTTTCATGAATAAATAAAATCTTTTTTTAATTATTATTTATTCATTCATGAGAGACACAGGGAGAGAGAGAGAGGCAGAGGGAGAAGCAGGCTCCATGCAGGAAGCCCGACGTGGGACTCGATCCCGGGACTCCAGGATCACAGCCTGGGCTGAAGGCAGGTGCTAAACCGCTGAGCCACCCAGGGATCCCCAATAAATAAAATCTTAAAAAAAAATAAAGGAGGGCTACTTCTTTATTTATTTATAATGGGGATAAAATGTTCTTTCCTCAAAGGAAGCGTATTTAGATACAATGAGCCAATCCACTTTTTGTAAGTAGCTCACAAGTCAAAGGAAGACAAAACAATAGGACTTCAATAGTGTTCTATCCAATAACAAAAGTTGTTTAAAATTAAGTTTCTACAGTTAGGTAAGCCAATATTTGCTTGTGATGTAGCCCCAGAAACATTAACCCAAGATTCACTCTGGGTTATTTATGAGAAGAATGATCTAACTTAATTACAGCCATTGTATATAAATATGTACATATGCATAAATGCACATGTATACACACACATTCATAAAATATACACACACAGATGCACACACATAGTAGCTGTGAATATTTTAATTTTTCCTGACCATGTTATATAAAAAGCATTTCTCAGTTATGGCTGTTTCTTTACAATTCATAATATTTCTGCTGCTTGCCATATGCATATCCATAAGTAGCATTTCTAAAATTTATATGGGTGTTTCTCTTCTTCCTATTCCAGAATTTTTACCATTTACCTTAAAATGTTAATTCTTTGTGAATGCACAAATAATGCCCACTTAACTAATTAAAAGCCTTAGCTGATGAAAGGTAATTAGTCTAGAATTTCCTTTTGTATAGCTTTGGATATGGAGGAAGACTCTCAGCAAATGGATTTAAATCAGTTGGCTTTGAATATTTAAAATTTTAGAAAATATTGAAGCATTTAGACCTTGAGATGGATTTGTCCCATCATTTATTTTAGAAATCCAAGTTTCTATGTATCTCATGGTTGGCCATCCTAATGAACTTTTATCTTACAGGAAAGAAGCTAGTAAGAATGAGTAGCTTTTATCCTGGGTCTGACTTGAGCAAGGAGTCCCTGCTTTCTGAAAAGTCATTTTTATCTGGCATTTTCTTATTTAAACTTTCCATTAACATCTACAGTGTATCATGCTCATTACAAAGACACATAGCTTCTGAGTCTTCAAAAAAAATTTTAATTTTACTGTGTTAGGTGTTTAGTGTTCTATTGGATTCTAGGCTTTGAAAATTACTATTCTATGTATACCAGAATTCTTGATAATGATAATGTGGCACACATTTGCTAATCATGCCAGATAATAAAGGAATGTTCTATTCCCATAAGAAATTACACAAGACAGCACTCATTTCCATCATGTATGATCAAGGGTAATTTATACAGACTAAATATTTTTTTTTGACTCTGGCTCAAAATTAGTTTTAGTGGATGAGGAGCTGATCCATTTCTTTAAATATAGTTTTAACTTATATGTAGTACAGAGTCTATATGAAGAAAACTTTAAAACTACACTGCAGAGCACAAAAAAAAAAGAGAAAATTGGAATCAACTTTAAAATATATGTTTTTTTCAATGGAAAGAGTCAATATGGGGGTGCCTGCGTGGCTCAGTCAGTTGAGTCTCTGCCTTCTGCTGGGGTCTTGATCCCTGGGGTCCTGGGATCCAGCCTTGCTTCAGGCTCCCTGCTCAGTGGGGAGTCTGCTTCTCCCTTTCCCTCTGTCCTCTCCCCCCTCATGCACTCTCTTTCTTTCTCTCTCAAATCTTTAAAAAAATCAATATCTTAAAAATATCAATTCTCTACTACTTCTACCAGAAATTAAAGCATGACAAAATTACTATAATGAAAACAGTTTGATTCTGGCACTTAATAGAAAGATCAATGTAACAAAATAGAATATGGAAATAGAGTAAAGCAATTCACAGATTTACTAAACCATAGAAGTAATATTTTATATCAGTGGAGAGAATATGGATTATTCAATAAGTATTAGAACAACAAAATACCTGTCTGGGGAAAAAAATAAAATGAATTCATGTCTCATTTCCTACAACAAATATAAATCCAAGATACATTAAAGATACATAAAGATACATTAAATTTAATAAAAATTTTAAAAAATATACATAAAAATCAAAGTTGTCTTTTAAAAATCATAATCGTGAGTAGGAATGGATTTTCTAATTAAGATGCAAAAACCTAGATGTCAAAAAACAGTGTCTCTCAACCTTGGCTGCACATTAGAATTGGCTGAGGAACTTGTAAAAAGTTTCAATCCTTGAACTTCATCCCAGAAAAAAATGATTCAGGACCTCTGGGGATGGGGCCTAAATCTCTGTTTTTCTTTTGTTTTTCGTTTGGTTGATTGATTAATTTTTTTTTAATGTTCTGCGGGTGATTCTGATACACGGTTAGACTTGAGAAAATTGCCACAAAATAAAACCTTCAGATTATTCCCATATCACTCTGGAAACTATCTCAGATATTCTTTGCCAAGAGTGGCTCAATTGCCATTTTTATTTTGCAGCTGCCACCCTCTTCTCTCAGAGGCTTGCTGCCTTCTTGGCTTTCACCCACAAACAAAAGGACAGATCCTTTCCATTTTCAGAATGTTGAAAATCTTTTAAGGGTCCCTCAGCAGGGATGCTGGCAGAAAACAGAAGGCATTTTCAAATTAGGTAATGAGAAAAGTTTAATAAAGAGGTTGTATACAGATGGAACCATTCATATCTTGGTTGCAGTGGTGATTACATGAGAATCTACATATGTGATAGAATTTTGTAGGACTATATAAAAAAAAAGCAGTGAATTTGAAAACTGATGTAATCCCAGTAAGGTATACAGTCCAGTCAATAGTATAATATCAATGTAAGTTTTCTTATTTTGATACTCTTTCCTTTGTACAATGTTATTGATGTGGGAAACAAAGGCAGAAGAAAAATTATTATTTTTTTAAGATTTTATGTATTTATTCGTGAGGGAAAGAGAGAGAGAGGCAGAGACACAGGCAGAGGGAGAAGCAGGCTGCATGAAGGAAGCCCTATGTGGGACTCAATCCTGGGACCCCAGAATCACGCCCTGAGCTGAAGGCAGACGCACTCAACCGCTGAGCCACCCAGGCGTCCCAAAAAAATAAATCTCCTTATTACCTACAGCCCATTGACAAGTTCTTGAAACAGGCAGAGTGACCTTCCTCTAGGGACTTAACAGCCTCAATGTTAATACTTTGCCAAGGGCAAAAGGCAATCTTAGCCCGATCTTCATGATTCTGTAAGCTTTAACATATACAAATTCCTTTAGAAATTTCCTTTATCTCTAAACCCCTCAAGATATGTGTTGGCAATCATCCCCCAAGCATATGGCCCACTGATACACATCTGAAGGATCTCGTGACTAAGATTTTATTAGACGGTAATAAATGACCCTTTCCCAACAATAGCTAGCCCCCTCAAGGTCCTGGAATCCAAAATTCCTTATGACTTATGCTGTTCCTAACCTCCTCCCAACTTGAAAGGATATAATGAGCCACTCCTCATGACCCCAGTGCAGCTCTTTCTGCCCACAGGTCCTGTCCCTGTGCTTTAATAAAATCATCTTTTTTGCACCAAAGTTGTCTCAAGAATTCTTTCTTGAAGGGGTAGGAAATATCAGAAAGGGAGACAGAACATGAAGACTCCTAACTCTGGGAAACAAACTAGGGGTGGTGGAAGGGGAGGAGGGCGGGGGGTGGGGGTGAGTGGGTGACGGGCACTGAGGGGGGCACTTGACGGGATGAGCACTGGGTGTCATTCTGTATGATGGCAAATTGAACACCAATAAAAAATAAATTTATTATTAAAAAAATTCTTTCTTGGCCATCGGCTTCGAATCCTAATGTCTTTGCCTACATCATTATTGTTGGGGAAAGCTGGGTGAAGGTACACAGAATCTCTCTGTATTATTTTTGCAAGTTCTTGTGAGTCCTAATTTTTCCAAAATAGAGAGTTAAAAAGAGAGACCGTTTATGAAGATGTGAGTGAGGAGCAGGAAAATCACACAAGGGATGTTGTAGCAACTCAGAACTCAACAATTGGGCCCAGTTTCCCACTCCCAGGCCTGAAATAAGAGTTGCTGGGGTTGGGGAGGGAGGGAAGTGAAGAGAGAGAGAGAGAGAGAGAGAGAGAGAGAGAGAATGAAAAGAAGCTGTATGAAAAGAGCTATCTGAGGGCGCTGTGACCTTGAGACAAGGGATGCCAAGTGGTCTAAGATATGGAATTCATTGAAAGTGGGCCTTGGCTCATTGTCTGAAATTGAGCAAAATTAGTCTGAGGGCATGAGAGGAATTGTAAAGTCTGGAATAGCCACTGGAAGGAAATTCATGAGGCAGGGTAAGATTTTACAAGGAGTTAATCTGGGAAAAGTAAATAATTACCAAAAACATTTGTTATCATCTTTTAAGTAATAATGAATCTCACGAGCATCATATGATTGTATTAGCTGGGACTTTTCAGAGAAACAGATTCAATAGGATATATGCACATATAGAAAGATTTATTATAGGGAATTGGCTCATGTGATTCTGGAGTTTGAGAAGTCCCAAGATCTGTAGTTGGCAAACTGGAGACCAATGTCTTGGTTCCAGTCTAAGTTTGAAAGCCTGAGAACTGGACGAGCTTCGGGTTCCAGCTTTCTATGTCATCAACGGTGGTTCCCATGCTGGCAACAAGCTGGCCATGCAGGAGTTCATGATCCTTCCCGTTGGTGCAGCGAACTTCAAGGAGGCCATGCGCATCGGAGCAGAGGTTTATCACAACCTGAAGAATGTCATCAAGGAGAAATATGGAAAAGATGCCACCAATGTGGGCGATGAAGGTGGATTTGCTTCTAATATCCTGGAGAACAAAGAAGCTCTGGAACTGCTGAAGAATGCCATCGGGAAGGCTGTACACCGATAAGGTGGTCATCGGCATGGACGCAGCTGCTTCCGAGTTCTTCAGGTCTGGGAAGTATGACCTGGACTTCAAGTCCCCTGATGACCCCAGCAGGTACATCACGCCTGACCAGCTGGCTGACCTCTACAAGTCCTTCATCAGGGACTACCCAGTGGTATCTATCGAAGACCCCTTCAACCAGGATGACTGGGAAGCTTGGCAGAAGTTCACTGCCAGCGCTGGAATCCAAGTGGTGGGGGACGATCTCACCGTGACCAACCCGAAGCGGATTTCCAAGGCTGTGGGCAAGAAATCGTGCAACTGCCTCCTGCTTAAAGTGAACCAGATTGGCTCTGTGACCGAGTCTCTTCAGGTGTGCAAGCTGGCCCAGTCCAATGGGTGGGGCGTCATGGTGTCGCATTGCTCCGGGGAGACCGAAGATACCTTCATCGCTGACCTGGTGGTGGGACTCTGCACTGGGCAGATCAAGACGGGTGCACCATGCAGATCCGAGGGCTTGGCCAACTACAACCAGATCCTCAGAATTGAAGAGGAACTGGGTAGCAAGGCCAAGTTCGCCGGCAGAAGCTTCAGAAACCCCCTTGCCAAGTAAGGTCCAGGTGGCGCACCCTGTGGTCCTGAGTCGGCTCGTTAGACCTCTGCTCCCCCGGGCAGCTCGAGGCCCCCAGCCCAAAGTGGCAGGGCCCTGTGCTAGTTAGCTGCCCTCTCCTTTCCCCGTGATGTTCTCAAAGCTTCCTTAGAGTTGCTACAGAAGCCAGACTTGACCATCTGGAACCCTGCTGGGAACCCTAGCTCTGTAAACGTGATTGGTCCAAATCATTGCTTTCTCACCTCACTTCCACCAAGCGTCTGGAGCCAGGTCTGTCTATGTAATAATCTCAAGGTGTCCACAGGCAAGATCCCCAGTGGTTTTATGTGCAGAATAAAAAGGCCTCAGTGACCCATAAAAAAAAAAAAAGAAAAGAAAAAGAAAAAAAAGAAAGCCCAAGAACCAGTACAGTTGATGGTATAAATTGCAGTCTGAAAGCTGACATACTCAAGAGCCCAAAAAACTGGATGTTTTCATTCAAGTCCAAAGGCCAGAAGGAACTTCCCAGCTCAAAACAGTTGGTTGGCATTTCCTCTTGTGTGAGAGTCAGCCTCTTTGTTCTATTCAGATCTTCAGCTGATTGGATGAGGCCCACTCACATCTGAAGCACAATCTGCTTCAGTCAGTCTGCCAGTTCAAAAGTTAATCTCATCAAGAAGTCTCTTCACAGACACACCCAAATATCTGGGCACCTTGTAGCCCAAAGTGACACATACAATTAACCATCACAATTATGAACATACAAATCTTTCTTACCAAGGAGTAACTCATCAGAATAGATAGTTGAAGGCCCCATTACTTTGTTTCACTCATAGTGAGATACTATGAGTAATAAAACTCTTGGATATGGTCACTGACAGAGTCTGATGATAACATTTTTTTTCTTTCATTCACGTTGGCCATCCTTTCCACAAAAGCTAAAAATTAATTGAGTTCAAATATATTTTGCCTTGAGTAATAACTTGGAAATGTGCTCACTGACCTAAGAGGTTCATCTATGTTTTCAGGTGGCCCTAGCAGGAGTGTACTCATATGTGCATGTTACATTCCAACAGCAATCAACCTGATATAAACCACACAGAGCTCTTAATCTAAGAAGTGGGGACTCAGAGAGGTAACATTCTGGGCACTTGTGTTGCCTATGCTTTTGTAAACCAAATGTTACTTTTTTTAGAAGAGTAGGTAGTTGACCTTGAATCCCACTATGCATGCCACAGACTACAACTAAGATATGATTCTTGATGCTACTGCCACTTTTGCACTCAAGGGGCTATTGCCTTTCTCTTGGATCCTCTATCACCAGGGATGGTAAGCTGAGAGCACACACTTAAGATATTTTTGGCATATATAAAAAAAAGGCCAGGTATCTACTATATGCATGGAAAATGTTCTTTTTCATGTATTTATTCATTTAGTCAACCTGTATTTACTGAGCACCTACGATGCACCTGGAATCATGCCATGTTGATTCCAGAAAGTACAGAAAGTACCAGGAAGCCAAAGCATGTAGGGCCTCCTTCCAGTCCATGGGTATTCAGAGTGGGATAAGAGGCCATATTCAATTACCTTTTTACAAAAAAAGAAAAAAAAAACTTATTTTAAAGGTAAAACATAAAATGATTATTTTTAAGATAATAATGTTTAGACAAAGTTTTAAATGAACTGAAGAAATCCACAGTATTTTTCATCTGTGTCCACACACCCCAAGGTGACTCCCACCCTTGTATAATCCCTTTACCACCACCCCATTGAGTATGAGTGGGAACTGTCCCTTGCTTCTAATAAACTGAGTATGATGAATGTGCTGGGATGTCACTCTTATGACTACTTTTTGTTACCTAAGAGCCCATCTCAGCAGACTGGAGAGAGAGAGACTCTCCTGCTGGCCTTGAAGAAGCAGTCACCTTGTAAACTGCCTGTGGAGAGGGCACGGGGCTGGGAACTGCACGAGGCCTGTAGGAACTGAAGCCAGTCCCCGGCTGATAGTCAGGAAGAAGCTGAGGGTCTCAGTCCTACAACCACAAGGATCTGAATTCTGACAACAATACATGAGCTTGGAACAGGACCCCAAACTCCAGGGGTTTTTCTTACCAAGGAGTTCTGCACCAACTGACACCTGAATTGCAGCCTAGTAAGACTCTGAGCAGAAAAACTAGTTAGGACCTGGACTACTGATTCTTAGGAACTGAGATAATAAATGTGACTTGTTTTAAGTCCCTATGTTTGTGGTATTTTGCTACAGCAATAGAAAGTGAATATACACTCTAACCTTGGTTTTCTCCTTAAGTTTAAATAAAACTGTTTTTCCAACCTTCCTGGAGCTAGTTCTTTCTTGGGGCCTGTTCATGAGCTCAGGAACATTAACCAACTCAGCATCAAAAACCCTCTTGGCTTCTCATAACTTCCAGTTTTCTAGTGAATATTCCTACTGCCACAGAGGTATTGTCATCAAGGAACACTGATGATAGAAGTGGGAGACAGTATCTACCTTTCAGCATTCTTCTATGCAAATATTCTTTTTTTCTTTCTTATCTTCATGCTCTCTGCTTTGATGGCTTTCTTGGTTTTCTTAAAGGAAATCATGTCTGAAATCACTTATGTTGACACTAGGTAAACAGGCCAGTGTTATTCATTTTCAATGAAGACTAGAGTTTATCTGATACACTGTTTGACACAGAACAGGCATATAATACCCCCAGTATGAAGCGCAGAGTTTTCTAAGAAATAAAACAATGAGATAAATCAGATTGCCCATAAATCATGTGCTGAAGTAATAATCCAGCCAAAGACAGAACTTTTGGAGGATCAAGATTGTAATAGCACGAGGGGGCATGAAGGTAAGGAGTGGGCACTATTAGTGCCCTGCCCAGATCCTGGGTACTGGCTGAGGCATCAGTCTTCCAGCAGTTATGACTGTCAGGTGCTAATTGGTCATAGCCTCCCTCTAGAAGGCTAGAATTGGGTTTGGTCAAAACGAAGCTAACTTACTCAGGACATTTTACACATACACATAGTCACACAGACACAGACACATCAGACACTGATAAACACACACACACATAAAGGAGAGGCAGCTCACAGCCAATGATAGTCACTGATATGGATCTATTTTTAAAAAGGCAAGCTCTTCACTACCATATGGGTATGCAGGGCCACACTGGTACTACTCATGTTCCAGAGGTCCCCACTGGATCAGGCTAAGGCTGGTCCTCAGCTGAGACCCCAGTTAGTTTTTTCCTGCTTTCTCCACTTATCTTTTTCTAAGAGCACTCCTTCAGGAAATTGCTTGCACAAGAATCACCTCAGGTTCTGTTTCCAGGAAACCTAATCTAAGACAGAAGAGCTTTATTTTATTTCATTTTATTTATTTATTCACAAAAGACACACAGAGATAGAGGCAGGGACACAGGAAGAGGGAGAAGCAGACTCCATGCAGGAAGCCTGATGTGGGACTCCAGGATCACGCCCTGAGCCAAAGGCAGATGCTCAACCGCTGAGCCACCCAGGCATCCCAGAAGAGCTTTTTGAATGTTGGTAATGTTCTATTCCCCTTTTTTCTCATTTAACAGCTTTCTGAGATATAATTTAAGCACCATACAATTCATGTATGTGAAGTGTATAATTTAGTATTTTTTAGCATTTTCAGAGAGTTGTGCAGCCATCATCAGCATTTCCCTTTGAAACATTTTCTTCCCCCCTAAAAGAAACCTGGTACCCATTAGCTGTCACTCCTCATTCCCAAACACCCCTCCTTCAGTCAGCCCTAAGCAACCACTAATCTCTTTGTATCTCTACTGATTTGCCTATTCTGGACATTTTATGTAAGTGTCATTATAATATGTTCTTTTGTGACTGCCTTCTTCCACAGAGCATAATGGCTACAATAAAAAAAAAGTGGATAATGATGTTGTTGACAATAACAATTGTCAAGGTTCATCTATGCTGTAGCACATATCAGCACTTCATTTCTTTTTATTGCTGAATAATATTCTATTCTATTCATATACCATATTTTATTTATCCATTCATCTGATATTAGACATCTGGGTTGTTTTTAGTTTTTAATTATTAGAAATGATGCTGCTCTAAACATTCATTTACAAGCCCCTTATGTGGACACATGTTTTCATTAGGTACATGGGTATATACCTAAGAATGGAATTGCTGTGTCACATGGTAACTAACTTTAAATTTTTTGAGGAACTCTCAAACTTTTTTTCCAAAATGGCTGTACCAATTTACATTCCCAGCAGCCACGTGTTGGGGCTCTGATTTCCCCACATTCTTACCAACACTTGTTATTGTTCACTTTTTAAATTATTACAACCATCCTAGTGGAGTGAAGTAGTATCTGACTGTGTTTTGATGTGCACTTAGCTAATGACTAATGCTGTTAAACATCTTTTGTGTTATTATTGGCCATTTGTTTATCTTCTTTGGAGAAATGTCTATACAAATCCTTTGCCCATATTTTAATTGTACTTTTTATTATTGTTGTGTTCTTTATATATTCCTTATATATAAATATATATGTATATTCTTTATATATTCTACATACAAGTTCCTTATCAGATAAGTGATTTGCTATTTTTCACCATTCTGTGGGTTGTCTTTTCACTTTCTCAATGATATTGTTTAATGCTCTATTTCTCGACTTGGATGTGGTTACATGAGTGTATGCACTTTGTAATAATTTATAAAACTGTGCACTTTCTTTTTCTTTTAAAGATTTTATTTATTTATTCATGAGAGACACAGAGAGAGGCGGTGAGATAGGCAGAGGGAGAAGCAGGCTCCCTGTGAGGAGCCTGATATGGAGCTTGATACCAGGACCCTGGGATCATGACCTGAGCCATAGGCAGACGCTCAACCACTTAGCCACCCAGGCACCCCAAAACTGTCCACTTTTCTCCCAAATCTCTGCTCAGGTCCAGTCAAAGTGAGGGCAGCAAGAGCCTCTCCTTTTCTTTTCTAGAAGAGATTTTTCCAAAATTCGGATTTACAAGGGAAAATTTGGGGTTAGAACTAGTTCTTTGGATATTGTGACTCCTTTTTTTTTTTTTTAAGATTTTATTTATTTATTTGTGAAAGACACAGAGAGAAAGAGAGGCAGAGACACAGGTAGAGGGAGAAGCAGGCTCCATGCAGGGAGCCCGATGAGGGACTCAATCCCAGGTCTCCAGGATCATGCCCTGG